AATAATACATCTTGTATTCAAGTGTAACATAGTAGTATTTACTATCAGTCATGGTGTTGCCAGTCATGTATTTTACAGGGCAGAAAAGCCTTTTCTGTGTCACTGGGGTCATGTGTACTCGAGAATCATCTCTGCATAGTACATTGTATTACACAAGCCCCAAAATACATGTTGTATACTAGTAATCCATGTTTGTCATATGGTCACTACTGTGGCCAGAAGAACTACATTGTACTAGGTATGTCATGTTTTTGTATACATCAGTTTGAAACTATGTAAACAGTATGAGCTAGCATTCACATTTAAGAGTGGTATTAAACCATAGAAGATCACTGCTGGTATTTGAGTCTATGATTGTTTTCCATGCTTCTAGTATTAATAGCAAGTTCTTATTAAAAAAAGAAAAACATTGCTTTCCTCAAGGACCCAGTTAAACAGCATGCAAATTTGACATTCTGGGATTAGTCCACCAGTGGTCAGGGCGTGTTGTTCAACAACCAAACTCTTTCTTATAGGTGTTGTGTGCTAACTGCTAAGCAGAGAAAGCAATACTAAATATAAGTAGTGTGCAATACCCAATACAAATAAGCATTGTGCAATATATAATAGATACAATAAGTACTGTGCAAAACCCATGCACATCAGTAGTCTGCAGTACCCTGTACAAACAAGTGCTTTGTTATACCCTTATTGTAATACCCTAGTTGGTAATATCACAGCCATCTTAGAGTACAAAAATGGACTACCAAGCCTTTTCACACCTTCCTGTTGACATCATTTTTCCTGTTGGATTTGGTGAAATCCTCGTACGAGTAAGGCACCACAGGTTTACACACCAGCTGCACCTGGTCCCCGAGGTGCTGGATCAGGGGTAACTTGTACAACACGTTGTCCAACATGTCTGGACTGGATGCCTTCAGGAACATCATCACCTAAAGGGCCAGAAGAAAATTTAATGTTTCTGAAACAGTCACTTGACTACATTTGGCTGTCTGATCGTCAATTATAGTAGGCTGTCTCTGGATTGTTTGAAACAATGCTGGAAATTGGCGTCACTTGTTGAGAAACAAATTTTGTCCGGATTACGTTATTTTATTTTCAGTCATGGCAACAGCTACTAGTATTTGTCACATGACATAAGACCCGTTTTGACGGAGATGTACAAGGCTTGTGATCACATAAAAATCCGTTCACGTCGTTCTTCAGAAAACACAAACAGCACCACCGCATGACCCTCCTCAATATGTACTGATAATTTACTCATACTGACCCTTCTTTCCGCCAGGACTTTGAACAGTTGTGCATTCCCGCTCCCCACGGTCTGCAGCACCAGCATGGCCTCCTTTCTCCATACGTCAAACAGCTGCTGCTGCTTCAGACCTGAGATGAAACAAAGACAACCGTACCTGATCATCAGCCTGGAGCCAGATGGGAAAGTCATAAAATTTTACATTTTGGTCTTTTACATCATTTACATCATTCGTTCTGGTAGGCAAAAGGCAGATCTGAAAAAAAATAAAAATCTGAAAAAACTCATATTCCACAGCCATTGAGCTGCCAAAATTTTCCAGTGTTAAACATCATGTGCCATTACATTGTCTTGATCTCCTGTGTCTATGTCTATGAAAGCATATCTCTCTGAATTTGTGACCGGTCCTTACGATAAGACCGCTTTGGAATGTCACTACATACGGCGTGCATGCGCGAGGATCCCATTATATTGTCTCTAAAGCGGTGTCCAATACCAATGACTTAACCAATACAATATTACATAAACCACAAAAAAAGTAATTAGAACTAAGGTTAGAACTTACCGCTATATCCTATATACATGTCTATCCAGTAGATAAAACCTTCTGTGGGAGATGAGGACCATTCCTGGGTCTTTTGCCCCGGCCATTCCACGCCCAGCACCTCGCTGGCAAACGCCTCGTATTGCCGCAGGGGTCGACACTTGACTTGAACCAGGCGACCCAGCGAGGGAACAGGGTTGGCCGTCAGGGCAGTGTCGAGGTCGGTAGGGGTACTGGACTGGATGACTGAAACATAACATTGGTAGACATTTGGTTCCAGCAAACTAATCTTCAAACAGATCCTTTTATGGCAAAATCGTAACCGACAAGTAATCGAAGCGCGGTTGCTGGACACTGCCGGGCGAATTGGACACTGCACGGTGCCTTGCCGGCTGTTCCGTTCACGATTTTGCCACCGAAGGATCTGCTTGGAGGTTTACAGTAAACGGCTTTTTAAAGCAAATGTCATCACGGTCAGATTTACTGCACTAACCATAATAGCCAGGTCACAATTGCATAAAGAGAAGTCCATTCTCCCATAGAAATGCATATCCTCGTGTAAGGATACAATATACACCCCCGACAAACTATTGGACCAGTCCGGTCAGAGGTCACGGACTGCACATGTTCTGACAAGAATACATTTCATATCCCAGCACTTCTCGCATCTTCATTCCTGGAGTGATTACTTATAAGTTCCAATATCTACACTAATTGGACACTTATATTGGTGGCAGCGGTGTCTGGCTTCGAACTCCCGCCAGCTCTGTCTTGTGGATCGCATTTGGAGCACATTGCCGACCGACGTTCGAGCACCCCCCTCCCCCACCTGGTTGACTCGTGTCTACCCTGCTCTACCAAGACTCCAGGTATGGCTAACCTCCATCCGTTTACGCTAGAAGACGATGAGGAAATTACCTTTCCACGGCTGCGACCACTGTTGTCACCTTCAGAAATTTCCCCCATTCAATCCCGTGGCGCATCCGGTGTCCGAACTGCAACCACCCTCCCAGGCGCCCTCCCACGTACAACACCACAGGTGGGTCCCACACCACTGTACAATCAGTATGCTCAGTCTGCTTACGCTACAGGATCTTTTCCTGGTAGGGGTACCGTGCCCACAGCCACGTCTGTTGCTGAATCCAATACTCATGGGACCAGCCCTGCCGGGGCTTCTTACCACCAGGCTCCGCCCCCTGCCATGACTCAGGACACCACCAACCAGCAACCCTCGTCAGACCTCCGCCTCAAGACAAGACTGCCACCCACATTTAACGGCACTGATGATGACTTCACCTTGTGGCTCAACAAATTTGACCTTTATGCCACTTCCCAGAAGTACACCCCTGAGGAACGTGCCATGGCCCTCCCAACTTTCCTTGACCACCATGCCCTGCGTTTCTACCTTGGTTTGCCGAGGCAGGCCCGTGCTACCTATTCAACACTGACTCAGCGCCTGGCCACTGCCTTTTCCAAGGAACACTACATTTACACGTTCCGCCAGTCGCTCCAGGAACGAACACGCCAACCTGGAGAACCCTTGATCGTATTTGCACTTGATCTACGCAGGTTGGTAAGCCAAGCCTATCCTGAGTACAACGAAGCAGCGGTTGAGGGGCTTACCTTGGACTACTTCTTCAGGGGAATTGATCCTACCATCCGCAGACGGCTTCGCGAGGTGCAGGCCACAACAGTGGACCAAGCAGTCAAAACCGCTACCATGCTGGAACAGGCCGCTACAGCAGCTGCATGGGAGGCCAACAACGCTCATGCTGTCGATCCTACCTCCCATCACCCCGCGGTGAGTGCCGTCCGCAACGATACCTCCCTACNGTCAGCGGTGTCTGCTCGGACCCGGAGAAGGAATACTCCAGCCAGTACAGCGAAGGGGACGCCATGACAAGGCAGGAGACTAGTGACAGCACTCTCCCACCACACTACAAGGGGGGTGTAAGTAAAGACGACTGCCGGGGTTTAGTTTCACCTCTATCAGTAATTGTTCGGCAAACACCCCGTCTGCCCGACAGGAACACGCAGTATCACTTTCCCCTCCCTTTGTCTGCTCTGCCTCTTCGTAACTAACGCAGTTGGAAGCCTGTATACCTTTGGTAATGCGGCACACGGCTAGATAATTATTACATTTCCGCATTATTCCGCCGTTTGATGAGTCAGATTCCTTCAAAGTCGTTCTTCGTTTCCTCGTTGTAACAAGTCCAAGTGAACACATACGTTGTTCTTACAGTTTCCTCGTTGTAACAAGTCCATGTGAACACATACGTTGTTCTTACAGTTTCCTCGTTGTAACAAGTCCATGTGAACACATACATGTACAATGTTCCTATAGTTTCCTCGTTGAAACAAGTCCATTTGACCACATACATTGATTAGTTACACCAGTGATAAGTTACATCATGGAGGTAGAAAAATCACATGATTACACTGGTGATTGGTCTTACGGTTTCGACGTCAAACAAGTCCATGTAAACACAAACAATGCTCTTACAGTTTCGTCATTGTAACAAGTCCATGTGAACAAATACGTTTAGGATACAATTCAGTTTCATTTTAAAGTTACAGTATTTTATTTACAATGCAGTACAGTGTAATACAGTGAATGAGTCCACTATTGACTGTATCAAAGGTATTGACGTTGGATTGTGTTAACATATAACCGTTCGGAACTTATGGTTATACAGTGCTTGCCCATGTTAGTCCATGTAATAACAATGCCCATACAGTGCTTGCCTTCACCTGACTTAATCACGTTTCTAACAGCCCTTTCACTGGTCATGACCCTAGGAGCTTGATGGTCAATACCTTCTAGCCAAAGTCCGCAGAATGGGGGTCGGGTGATCTTGATCTTGTCGATCGATCTATGCATGT